GAATTTTATGAACAGTGGAGGAGGGGCATGAGAGGTGACAAAGGCATGGACAAAGGTTTCGGCAGCTTTTGGGGTGAGATATTGTCGGAGATGGGCAATGTGGTGGAGGTGGAAGAAAGCAATGCTCAAAAGTTACGAGCATTTCTGACATTCACAGCCAATTTGTCCCATACCAAAGATTAAGACAAACAGTGTCTTTCTGTTTTTGAAATGCACGGAACTCTTCATCCAAATGACGCATATATTATATTTTCAGCTGTGAACCAAACCTCTTGAATTCAAATTGATAAAAGCAAACTACTATACAAGAAAAATATAATATTTTCATCTGTGAACCAAACCTCTTGAAGCGCTCTGAGACGCCATCCAGCGTGGAGGCGCTATATAAATCCAAGTTGTTGTTGCTGTTGAAATTATCAGGAAATCAACATCAATAAATGATCAATGTAGTTGACACACATTAACTACATTCACTGATTCTTGGCTATCTCTGTCATAAGCTTTCCAAATTCACTAATCTAAGTTCCCATTTCAGGTCTAGTGACTATCTACAGATTTTTATTAGCATCCTACTGTTGTAGTATCTTTATTTACAAGATCATTTAGGTGTTTTCAACTTCATCTCCACGGTTTTAAGTTTTTTTGGTCTATTTTCAAGGAGCGTCTTTAAGAAACATCTGATTTTGATGCTCCTTGCTTATTACTCATGCCAAATCATTAGTTGTGGATTCTTCCAACACTGTGAACAAATGTTTTGGGTATATTTTAATTTCTAATCAACTTAAAGTGTGACAGCAATGTTGGCCTGGAGCAGTAGTTTGCCATAGCTTGGAAACTTCAATCAGTGCTGAATTATTTCAGATGGAATATGCAATATGAAAAGCTCACAGGGGCAATTTTTAAATCAGAAGATAAATCTTCAGTAGCCCTCAACACCATTCAGTTATCTTGACTGTAGCTGGCCAGTCTCTGGAACTCCATTTGGTTTGCAAGACTATTTGGTCATCTCTAACAGTTATAATTAAAAGTCCCCAAACATGAATGAGGAGTGGAAAGATAAATGCACATACTGTTCTCTAATTTCCTAAATCTAAAATGTAGTTAAGTGTTGCACAAAAGACACACTAGAAGACATTTTTTTCTAAAGCAGCTTCCATATGCTAAACTTAATGAGGTGAGCACACATCTACGTTGCAATACCCACAGTGGTATACTCTTGCAGTTATGTTCCCATTGTCACCAGTACTTTGTTAAATTTATTGGCTTCACTCCACTGGACCACTGTTAATTTTTCTTCAAACTAACCCAAAATGGTCTAAAGCGATTGGTTTAAATACATTAGGGATTTTCTCAATTACTGCTTCAGTTAACAGAATGCCAGGTTTTATCATAAGACTTTTAAAAAAAACAGAAATTGAATCAACAGCCTCATGAAAACAATACAGCAAATAGTCATCAACAATTTTATAGTGTTTGAAATATCACATTTCTATCCTTTTAGTGAGAGGAACCAACATTTTTTTTTCAATCTAGCCTATCAGTGACAGCTGTTGATTTCATGCTTCGTGCTTGCATCTTGCCTAATTAGCTGTCAGTCCACTTTAGGATCCTGGGAGGCCACTAAATATATTCATGCCAGTTAGTAGCCCTGCTCATAGTCATCAACACTCAGATCTCACTGCAGCCTTTACCCATTTCCTTCACATCACAAACAATACTTTACACCTGAGTAAATTCAAAAAAAGTAACAATTGCAACCAAAATCTCCATTCTAATACACTATTTCATTCGTAAAAAAAACAACTTTATAAAGTTAATAAATTGAAATAGACCCTGCAAATATATACAAAAGTCAACACATTAAATGAATTGAAAAATTACCATTTAAGTAAAAACATCCTGACAAAACAGTTATAGTGCTTTCTCATTCAGCATAAGGTAATGAATGCATTTTGCAGAGATTCTTTGGGCAGACTGAAAAGTCTGACCTTTTAATATATACCATATTGTCATTTCTGACGATAAAATCTCATTAAGTTGTCCACAAGGCATTATGAGGTACTTTGTTTGGATGCCATAAGGCACACATGAATAAATATGTCATTTTTAAACCAGAATGTAATATGATAATAAATTTCATCCCTTTGTATTTACCAAATCCATTCATAATCAATGCTCAATTAAAATAGACCCATCCCATTAATGCAATTCTCAGTAGTCAAGCAATTTGTATGCTAACATATCAATAAACAAAGAACATTACAAGATCAGACGTTAACTTCATACCACAAACAGTGTTTTAATGAGAGGCTTTATCTTGGGAAAGTAACAAAACACACCTGAAATTTAGATGATATCTAAATGCCATCTTGATTCTATCAGAGAAAATGCAACACCAAAAATCATACTTCTTTGAACCAGTAAATTTTGTGCAACTGTTTTTGTGCACAGTTAATCCATTTCAGTTCACAGATAGTTAATCATTCTCATAGGAAGCTACTAATAATTTAGTTGATTAAAAAGTCATACCTGTGATTAAATAGGTGGGATGAGATGGGAATCTGGGTGGGAATCCAGATATAATTACATTTATACAAGGTCATTTTCAATCCCTATAATTTGAACTTGCTTCTTATGTGTAATAAGAAGTATCCATAGAACTTATAGGACTATCTTAAAATACGCAGGGTTATGCAGCTTGTCCTTCCTTCAGCTCCACAAACACCCACTTCAAATTGAAAGTGATCATTATTGGTTTACTTTTGGGGAAAAAAGCTAGAAAATAATTTTCACGTTATTTTCATGACAACAATACAAATTGCCATTGATGACTGTATTTCATTTTTATAGTAGCAAAGAGGACGAAAACAGCTGGCATGCAGAAAGCTTTTTTCCCCTCAGCAAAGCAATTTTAGGAAACCTATTTACTTAAAACTTAAAAAAGTATAGCTAAGAGCATTTGTCCTGCACTATTCAGATCAGTTAACAATGCATTTTACATTTAATATATAAGTGGAAAAATGGTAACTGCAACAGTTTCTGTTATCATGAACATAATATTGCAGAAGAGATCCAGTTGAAGACGACCCTTTGGTGCATTTGATCTCATCCTTTGAAAAATATCCACCTTACCATCTTCCTGCAGCAGCATCCAGCTATTTTTTTTAATGGATCCAACCTTCTATCCTCAACCTCACTCTCTGGTAAAGTATTCAATACCATTCTATACTTCCTAACGTCTGTTTGAAATGACCATTTAAAATCGTATACACCTCCATAAGGTTCCATTTGAGACACCTCTTTTCAAGAAAAAAGAGCCCTAGCTTGTTTAATAGCTCATTCCTTTACTCAACCTCACTGATACACTCTCCAGGATCTGTGCAACCCTCTTAAGTTGTGGCGAGTAGAAAGTCAGTGCCTCAGAGCTCGGGTATAATTTCTGGGCATCTGAACTCAACTGAATGGCAGTACAGTATCCCATTTATCTTGTTTATGCTGCCTCATACTATTTTGACATGGTTAGCGATGAAGTCAACTTACGAGCTTACATCTCTTTTAGCTTCCCCTTGGCAAATTCTTTCCCATTCATGGAAAGACAAAGCTAGAATGGTTTCTGATAAACCTACAGACCAGAAGGCCCAGTCAATGTTAAGGTATTTAATCTCAACACCTGAAGCTGTTAAGAGACTTCAACTGGTCTTGATGCCTCTGGGCGAGAGAGGAATTGATAGGCCAGAGTTTCCCACTCTTCCTGGTTACCCATCCGATCAAATGTAATGTTTTTCTTATTCATACATATATAAGTGAGTAAAGGACATAGTTGTGATGCCCTCCATGGTTTATGGCCTGTCAACAACTGCAGCAAATCAACCCCTTTAGCAAAGAAAAATATTGGGGAAAATGGACTGCATTCAAAGTATAAGGAGAAAATAAAAGGATGCTAAAGCAGTAAATTTTATTTGGATAGTAGCTGGCTTGGAAGACTTAGTAAGTCTGACAGCCTGTGAAAATAGAGCTGCCATGCATAGTTGAAAGACATAGTCACTGAAGCAAACTGGGTTAACGTGTGCATGTACCAAAGTTAATTCAGTCATCCCAGAGAGCTGGCCTCAGAAACTCCTTCCAGCAAAGCTTCCAATGTTAACAGCACTCAGTTTAAATGAAAACAATTCCTGAAAAATCCCAAAGGTATTAAAACCAATTCTTTGCAAAGGAGTAAAGAACCAATCTGTTCAAAACTTCAATGAAAATTGCTTTTTTTTTGTATTGGAATGTTACTGTTGAAGCTAATCATACATGTCAATGTATATAACAACATAAGCAGGGAAAAAAATTAATAGCAGAGAGTATGGAGAGATAAGAAGGCAAGTGGGATTACAGAAATAATTCTGCTTACATTTGATATGGTAACAGCTTTCATGGTGGTTTGGGGCGGGGTCTCAAAGCGCTTCATATATTACTCTAAAGTGGAGTACCTGCGCACCTTGTGGGCAAATTGGCACCATTTTGCACATAGCAAAGTCCCATAAACAGCCATGAAATCCAATTTTATTTGAGGGATTGTTGTCAGGATACTGGAAGAAACTCCCTTCTGGAGTTGACCCCTGCTGGAATACATTGCTAATGAGGGACCAGCATTAACATTATTTCTCTCTTTCTGTGCTGTAAATTTTCTAAGATTCTAAGTTTATTTCAACGGTAAAGTGCCCGATCTGAAAATGTGTTTTTTTTTAAAAAAACGTACCTGACGTGAAGATATTTCAAGCCCAAGAAATGCTCATTTCTCCAGACATTTAGAAATCTAATTATTAAAATGATATTTAGCTTTTTGATATTATAACAACGTTCTTATAAAATCTTTAGGTAATCAGTCTGTATTAAGACTGTAAAAATAGCATACATACGCCAAAGCTGCAAGATTTGATATTTATAAATGCAGAGACATTTCCTCATCATATTAAAAAATTATACTTCCAGAGCCTCACTAATCATTTACTTACCTCGGTACAAAGATAATTCAAAATAGTGAAATCCCATTTCTTTGCATATCCTGCATTATACTTCAGTATAGCATCCTTTAATTAAAAAGGAAAAAATGGTAATTAGAGCATGTCCAAAGCAGTTATTTAACAGCTTGCAAAATACAGCCTTTTCTTCAAGTCACCAGTGACAACAGGCACAATTATTCCACAAATCTGACCTAAACATGTGTTCGTGAAATGAAAAGAGGTACAAGTCTGCACATGAATCCTGATTGTTGAAGAGGTCAAAAGAATCAAGAACACAAAATTAAATCTGCTGAGGTCAGGGATGATCACTGTAGTGAGTTCAAAAATTAGGATGATCAATCGGGAATAATTAAGGGATAAAATTAACAATATAGCAGATTTCTGGCTGGGGAAGTTGATCGCTTATTCCACCTCAGAATGAGAGGTATTGATTTAATATTGCTTAGCCTAAAATGAGCAGTAGACAAAGGGCTCTCAGATCTCTTTAATGTCACTCCAACCGGTGATACACAAAAGAGGTCTGGAGACAATTAACTTTCTATTTTTTCTTGCAATCCAACAGAAATTGTCTTCGCTTGCAGTCTCCAACTGATATTGGAATCTCTTAACTGTTACAATAGGCAGTGCAGCAATTTCTGGACAACAGTAATATGTGAGTTGTTTCAAAATGGAATAAATGCACAATTTCAATTATTTCATCTGTATCGTGGTTGCTTGGAACATAGCAACCACGTTGAATCAATTGTGATAACCATAATACTAAACATATCTGAAATGTCACACACACAGTTTAAAAAAAGTCTAACTTATGCTAAGTACTAAAAATAACAATCTTTTTCACTATGTCTTTAGAATGCTATTGCAAAAACAATGCCAATTTTCAATGTAGTCTCAACTGCAGTCAAAGAGACAAGTCTTCAATCAACTAAATAACAAGAGTAAAAATCTTATTTTTGTAAAGAATCGTTCATAAATACAATTAACCTTGTTTAGAATCATACCTTAATATCCAGTGAGTTATCAAACTTTCGTAACAGTGCTGTGTTGATTAATTCCCATCGACTACGCACAATCTTGTCTCCATCCTAAAATAAAAAGTAATGTTATCTTTCATTACTGTTTATGATTCCTAGCAGTACAACACCAAGTTACCAATGACAGGGCAACTAAAAAAAAACTCTCTAGAAATCTACATTCACTGCAAAAGTGAATACTCTGTAAGTATATTCTATAATTTTGCATTCTATTCCTGAAATAAAAACAATGTTTGTATTTAATTTTGAAAGAAACAGGTAATTCAAATGTGTGTCAGAAAGTACCAGATCTTGCTAGAGTTGAGATTTTATATTAAACAATGCAGTTTTGTTGTCATCTTAATATACAGTCCGTCATAACATGTTAGTTGGGGGTCAATCAAATGACAACTAGCAATTTAACGGGGTGTGACTGTTGGTCAATGTTTCTGCAATCATTGCACAGGTACGCAGAAAGCCAGACGGCTTCCCTCATCAAGGGAGAGAGAGTGTGTGCGAGTGATTGCGTGAAAGAGAGGCTGACTGACAGAGAGGCGAGAGTGATTGAGAGAGATTAAGCATGAAGGAGAAAGAAAAAGAGAGCAGAGAGAGAAACGAGGGCAATGTTTTGTGGTTCACTGTCAGGACAGACAATTAGAGTTTCCTTTGACAGACGCGGTGTGACCGAGGACAGACACCAAGATACGTGCGCACAGTTTCCTCACAGAAACCTCCCTCTTTCCCCAGTGAAAAACTCCTCTACGTCTTTTATTCCCAACCCCACCCCCACCATCTCTGCGACCTGCTGACCCGGCCGTTCCCTTTGCACGGCAAACACCAGCTTGCTTCAAGTCCCCCCACGTCATCTGCCGCACCATTGCCATTTTGTCCCCGCTCTCTGGAGTTTCATTCCTGGAGTCCATCCGACTCGCTTGCTCCCTCCCGTTTCAACGGACGTCAAGACCTAACTCTTTGACCACGCTTTTAGTCATCTTTTTCCTTCCCCATCCCACCTCCATCAGCTCCCACCTCCACCTCACTGTCCAGCCAACAGTGTCGAGCGTTTTGAAATGTCCTTCCAACATGAAAAGGTGTTGTGTAATTGTTGCTATGTTTCTGGAAGGAAAATACAAAATATTGCTTATGTAGCCCGCAGACCTTTCTCAAACAGGGAATCCGGCCAGTGGCAGCCAAAAGGTTGGATCACGCTGATATAAGACATTAAACCAAAGTCCCATCTGCCGTTTTAAGAAGATGTGAAAAAACCCATGATGTTATTCAAAAAAAAGCAGAGTCCCTTTCAGTGTTCTTGCCAACAATCTTTGTAATCATTCAACTCATGACTGTCTGGACACAAATGGCTGACGCAAACAGTCTCTGCACATCACGCACATTGAGACATTTCAATGTGACAAGGTGCTTGAAAAATTAACTTATCCTCATTGCGCTGCGTACCAAGTGTGTACTGTGTTCTTATAGTGCCATCTTGTGGACAAAAATATAAAGCTCTGTGATTCAAAGTCTCCCCAACTAGTCATATGTTTTTTTTTAAAAAAGTGTTGGTACAGTCAGTGAAAGTGTGAACTAATATGGGTTTCATAAATTCTGTCAATATAAGCAACAGGGCTTCTAAAAGATTGAAAACATTGAAGAATATGAACTTTTGGCACTTCATGTTCATGAATATGTTTAATTGTCATGTTGCTACTTAACTGTAGAATGGATTGCTTTTACCTCATTTTCAACAGGGTAGAGATTTTGATCAGAGCAGGGCATTTTCACATGCTTATCATCCCAGGCATCTTTAAAATAAGTGGGATAGGGTCTTGGGACATCTCCACTTTTCAGCAAATCGGTCTGCAATTACAAAGCAATTTTTAAAAAAAATGTTTTACACACACTGTACTCAATACTCAATTTGAAAAGAAAATCTTAAACGCATTGCATTAACACAACATTAAAGCCCTTTACCAACACAGTGGACAGAACATCCCACAGAACATCCCAAAAATACAATTATGAAACAACAAAAAATGAAAAAAATGATATTATTTGACAGAAAGTATGTTTTAACAAGGCTTGTAAACAATTAGTGATCTTTTTTGGGCACTAGACAAGGTTAATAAATAGGAGTCTTCAAATCGAGATAATTGATACAATCAACAATTCCTTTTTCATAGCATCTGCTTGAGTGCAAATTAAAAAGAGCTTGACAGCAAACATAATAATTCCTTCAAAAAAAATGGTCACTCGATCCACCATCGTTTGTGGGACACTGCTCTGTACAATTGCCTGCCCCGTTTCATCCATAAAATATGCAGTCAATTCATTTAACAGTATATTCTGTGAAGCACTTTGAGACGTCTCGAAGATATGATAAGACACTATATCAAATGCAAGGATTATTATTATTGTAAGAAAACTTAAACTCATCTACTGGATTGGGCTATTCCATAACCTTGGCCTGCCTGAAGATCTCTGCCCTTTGTCATAGCAATCACATTACACACTGCATTTTAAGAAACAATAAATCACCCGTTCCTTTCAACTCTGAACTCTATGAATTAAAAATGTATCTTTTGTGCAAATGAAACTAACACTGCAGGGATGGAAGTGAACTTCATGGCACAAAGCTGTAGATTCACTGTTTTCAAGTAGATTTTATTTTACAAAAGGATGGTTCAAATGCTAAAAGTACACCACTACCTGAAAAACAAATTTCAGGAGGTTTGGGGTACTTGCCAAACGGATCTGTAAGCCTTTTTGTTTCCAGACTTAGATCTTTATAGTTATTCCGCAGGTGAAGTTCATTCATTTCCACCGTACAAAACTTACAACCCACTTTGGTAACCTTTATGCCTCCAGTAACAATGGTGGCATACAGAGGCCTACACTGCAAACAAAAAGCAAAACATTTTCACTCTCCTCACATTGAAGCCAAAGAGATTGAAAAGGTAAGGGATTTAAAGGTAGGAGAACACCAAGGGGTGTCATGATTATAACATAAGGTTTAAAATGATGATGGACAAGGAGATAGATAAGACAAGACTAAAGTGCTGGATTACAAAGCTAACTACAATGGAATGAGGAGGGAATTTGTTGAGATAAACTGGAGTCAGTTATTCAGGCTAAACAAATTTAAATTAACGATAAAAATATTCTAAATTATGCATTTATCTGAAGGCAAAAATGCTGAATGAATAATTCATAATTTTAATGAGGAATCCTTAATAGAGCAAGTATGTTTGCAACCAATTGGCATTCCACTTGGAAAGGATAAGGAGAGGCAGGTAGAAAAAAATACATAAAAATAAAAGTGGAAAGAGTAGAAGAGAAAAGGTGAGGAGACTATACAGGGTCAGGGTATCTTGTATCACAAGAGACAAGCTAAAAATAACAGTGAAAGATAGAAGCCTAATAAACTACTTATATGCATTGAGCATATACTGTATGAAAAAATGGGAGAACTTAAGGCTGTTGTCAAAATCAAGGAATCAGATGAAATTGCAGTGCAGAAACATAATTACAAGCAGGTCATGACTGTTTTTTTGAACTTGAACATTCCAGGTTACAATGTATTTAGAAAGGATAACATTGTATCAGTGAAAAGAAGGAATATGAATTCGAGGTAAACAGAATCCATTTGGATACAGATAAAAGATAACAAAAGGTTAGTCACTATTAGGTATACACTACGGACCACCTATATTATGATTCTATTGTATCATATTATTCTATATAATTCTATGTAAAGAGAATTTATTTTAACTTACTCGTATGTTCACTGTATTCACGTGAGATGCTCTTAAAGGTGGCAAAACACCACCACATTCGGGCATTCTTCTCAGTTCACTGATTGGAGTTCCAAGCCATTTGGCATCTACCGAGTATCTTCCTCTGTTGAGTTTTTTGTCTTCCACATCACAATTTCCTCTTCTAGAAGTTAAACATTTATTAGCAGAGCAACTCTACAAATCATTTTTACATTTTTTATCAACCAAAGTACAGGACAATAGAGTTTGAATGCCAACTAAAATGAAATTTGTGTTTCACACATTAACAGAAATATCTGAGATGCTGGAAATAAATTTGATTCCGTGTTCCTGATCACATAAAGCAATTGAAAAAATAAATTCTAATTTTCTGGTTGGATACCGTTAAGGCAAAAAGGTGATATTCTGCTGCCAGGTTGAGCAGTTATGAAATTCCTTTGTATAGAGGCTAAAACAGTCTAAATAAATTATCTATATGACAGTGTTTATCTTTTAACCCATTTTTTACAACACAGCCCTCAGGGATTCACTAATTCAACAGCCTTGACAGAAAATGTTTTGAAAAATATCAGATGACAGCAGTTCAATTCTCATTGTAAAGAGTCTCATTTTCTAAATATAAAATCAACAACAAATGACATTTGTATAGCGCCTTTCACATCGGAAGGACATCCCAAGACGCAGGACAGTTAGGGATTTGGACCCGAGTAGGGGGTTGGGTTCGTAGAGGGAGTGGCGGGAGAGGAAGGAGCAAAGCTGGGAAGCAACAATTCGTTCCAGGACTTTGGAAAGGGAGAAATCAACTGTGCTTTCTCAATCAATTTTCACCCACTATACCTGATGGCAACTTACAGGATTTTCTTCATGCCACTTACTGAACATGTGCAGGTGAAGCTGTACAAAATCAATGGATGGACAAAACAATGAAACACTTGAACTGAATTTAAACTGTGATCCTTGTTACACACAGAGTCCTTAGCAAGCATTGGGTAATTTACATGAATAAATAATTTATGCTATGGGTAACATTTTGCCTGAAATGCTTACGAGTCACAGCAATAGAGAAATACTGTATGGGTACACATTCTGGAAGAGAACATTTAAACCTAATTTCTACACATCAGAAACTTATTCATCTCATATTCAGGTTCTCTTCCTCCCTCTTCCCCCTCCCCATTCATCTTCCTTGAGATGCAGAGGTCAGGAACCTTCCTGGCTGTTACAGGAGCAATAACATTGGAATATCAGCTACCCGAAGGTGTGCTATAAAGGTAAATATTACTTTTCATAACCAATCTGAAAACATAATCAGAGAAATTACAACACAGAAAGGAGTCGATGTGGTCCCTAGCTCCTTCACTGGAGCCGTTTCATCTAATTAAAATTTCCTGATCTTTTCCCTTTCCCTTTAATATTGTTCTTCTTCAAATATTTATCCAATTCTCTTTTAATTCCTATTGTGCCTATATGTTAGCCACGTTGAAACAAATACTCCTGTAAGTTGGAAATGCAGATTTGTATGTGAAACTTGTTTATTTTTATGTTTCCTTTACAATTTCACAAAACAACCTTGGCCAAAATGATCTAAGTACATATTAAGTTGCAAATTGGGGAGCTGGATATGAACATTGTGAGCTTCCACAGGCCAAAATGGGCCCTGAAGGATTACATTTTCATTCTTCATTACAGTGCCAAATCAGTGCCAACATTGCAAGATCTAATGCTTGTAGAAAATTCACAACTGAATGACGGGGTTAACAAAATGATGAACAAACGTCACTTACAGACTTTTCCACCTCTGACGGCACCAGATGAACAGCCCAGAAGCAGGTGAATGTTCCTGATTACTGTCCCTTTCCTTTCTGGACACGCACATTACTGCAGCACTTCTGCAGATGTAGTACTTTACTGTTTGTCAATTATACAACATGCTCAATTCAATGCAAATACACCCCTAGAGAAAATGTGGACTGCACAGGCACTCTGTAACCTTGGGAGGCCATAGATTTTCAGCAAACTAATTTTAACCACAACATTAAGCCAAAAATCAAGCCCATTGCTTGAAGCCGTTTTTAGACATCTCCACTTTTATGACAGCTTTTCAAAAAAAATGAACAGGTTTTACTGAAGAGCTATATACAGTGCTCAAAACTATTTCTGAATGTGTCATAAAGTAATTGTTTTATTTCCAATCATTTGAAACTCTTGAAATCGAAGAGGAGGGCCTTGAGGCGGGACTTGAAGGAGGCTAAGGGGGGGGGGGGGGACGAAGCGAGTGACTGGGGGATAGAATTCCAGAGGTTGGGGGCAGAGTGGCTGAAGGCTCTCCCACCACTGGTGGGGGGGAATGGGTCGGGGGACGTGGAGCCGGCCAGAGCCGGCTGAGCGGAGGAAACGGGCGGGTTGGTAGGAGGTTAGGAGGTCGCAGAGGTAGGGTGGGGCGAGGCCATGGAGGGCTTTGTAAGTGAAGACCAGGATCTTGAACTGGATCCTCTGAAGGATAGGGAGCCAATGGACTCGGGCGAAAGTGGGGGAGATGGGGTCATGGAGTTTGGTGTGGGAGAGGACACGAGCTGCAGAGCTCTAGATTATCTGCAGCCTGTAGAGGGAGGAGTTGGGAAGGCTGACAGGAAGGGCGTTTGCATAGTTGAGCCTGGAGGTGATGAAGGCATGAACAAGAGTTTCAGCGACCTGAGGGGTGAGGTAGTGGCGGAGTCGGGCGATGTTACGGAGGTGAGGGAAGGCAGAGAAGGGTCATGGCTTGAATGTGGGGGAGAAAAGACAGTTGAGGGTTGAACAAGACACCTAGGTTCCTGACTGGCTTGGTGAGTTGTAGTGAGCAACCATGGAGGTTGATGTTGCCAGAACCTGAGGTGCAGAGGTGCTGGCGCGAGCCAATCAGGCGAGGCTCAGTCTTGTTCACATTCAACTGTAGAAGGACCCAGAGATCAAATTATAGTCATAACATCTTTCAGAGCATCTTAATATTGCATAATCTCATAATGCCATACGTTTCTGCACACAGATTTCTACTATTGTGCATTACGAATAAGACCCAAACCTCAGGTGAGCATTGTAAGAACATTTCTAAAAAGGAGTATGCTATGATTCTGAAGTGCAAATATTAAATATCATATTACTCTTGCAACTCATGCCAAAAATTCTAATTTCTACAGGAGTGATGACAGTTAGAAACAACTGTGATGATATTCATAAACACAAGGCAGCTGACTGCATAGTCTATGAAGCAGAAGACCTAATGTTCCACAAGAGGGAGAATAAGGGAATTTGGAGCTTATCATAAAAAAATTAAAATCTATATTCTTATCATCTCCACATACAGATGCTCTTATTTGTGAAACATAAAGATTATAAACACTCTTCCCCAATTTTGATATTCCTTTTTCTCTTATAGTCCCCATTTATAAAATGAAAATCTATTGTGACCTCTTAAAAGGCACTTTCTAATACACATTTTCTGTGCTGGGTTTAATGCAAATTATATTGTTAGTTTAGTCTCTTTCTTCATCCAAACATCTAGGATGGAGAGAAGAGAATTTAGCCAGTGACACCAAAAGAATAGTACTTCATCACCAGCCGAATATGAAACACAGATATGGATAGGTCCACAATTCAGTCCATCCCATGCTCTAAATTGCCATGCAATTTAAAACGAGATTAGAAACTGAAAAGCACTATCAATATCTCTTTAAATGTGGGAGATTTTGAGGTAGCACTAATTAAAATGTATTTAATACATTTCTATTAAATTAGTATTTGATAGAAATTTATCATTGAGCAAGAGGCAACAATATTTCCAAAGTGCACTTTGTTTCTCCAAACAGACCTACAATATATATACATAATAAACAGTGCAATCTGCTCGAAATCATGCACTGAGTGCAGTTAGTAACCGTTTTCTCACATTAGTCTTAATAGAACATATAAGAATGTATTATATAAAATGGGTTTCTCATATATATATATTGCTAATCCAACTGCATACTTAGAAATGGAGTCAAGCTACAAGATAGTGCGATCATGATTGTGCCTCCACATTTGCAACAACTCCTGAAATATCCTTAAAAAGCAAACTATTGACCACATTTAGGAGAGAAGCAGGGCATTGCCTGTCAAATAAATTACTGTACAATTTAAAGTTTTTTTGCAGGAGAATGGAGGGCAGGGAAGACAGAGGAAGAAAGATGTACAGTTGGCCCAAAGTCCAAAGCAAAACAAAACTGAAAATCCTAATTAGCAATCTGCCTAACACTGGGTTTATTTTCATACAAATCTCCTCTGCACTACTTTCCTGAAATCTTACACAAATCCTGTAAAATCTTTGAATGATATGAATGCTTCCTTGATGGCGTATCGGTAGCATCAATCCATACAGAATGATAGTCATCAGTTTGATTTGCAGCCTATTCTGTGTTTGCTGATTTCAGATGGGACAGCAGCAGGGAACGAGCTTTGCAAAAAAAACATAAAAAATGCAATTCCATCTCACCTTAGCCTATTAGTACAACCTTAGCATTTAACATTGCATGGAATGGTGTAAAATTGTTCAATTAAATTTAATTTGGAAATCTGTGAAAAACCTGCTTCCAAAGATATTTTTTCTATAATTCTTACATTTTAAAACAGTATGGTCTTGCAAGCTAATGACTGGGTGGAACTTCAGTCCCAAGACATTCATCCAGAGTTTTCACTCCAAATCACAATCGAGTGACCCCTGTAGGAAACGGTATGTCTGTGGACCTCAGGATTGATTGCATAATAAAAATAGTTATCTATTAAAATGTTAAAACGTCCTCCAACACCATTATGTGAACATGCACTGTATATTCACTAAATTCAACTTTAAATTAGCAAACTTCTGAATTCTAAAAATATACAATATCGATTGGAACATCTTTTTCTATAAACCTTCATGATCAAAAACAAATACAAGCAACCACAATAGCAAACACTATGCAAAATACTTCATCAGAACAACACTCTCACACCAGTACGGTCATCATGTTTGGTGAAATTCTGAAACACAACTGATTTTATCCATCTGTATTCCAGTGGCAGATCGCTAGCTGCACAGTTACTCCTATCAGCTGCCGTAATACAGAATTTCAATATTTCGACAACCAATTGATACAGCAGCAACATACAAACTCAAACATATTGACTTCCCATTTCTGTGCTGCTTGGAAATAATATAGTATCACCCAATTTGCAACTACTTCTATTTTGCACTGTAAAGGTGGGACAATAATAATAATCCTTGCATTTGATACAGTGCCTTATCACGTCTTCAAAAGACGGTTCAAAACGCTTCACAGAATATACTGTAAAATGAATTAATTGTATATTTAGTGGCCGAAAAAAATGCAGGTTGGGAAGGATATGGAACCACAATAAAATAATAATTCCTTTATGTTCACATAGAACATTTTTTCATCACTATTAATGGTGTGTACTATGCAAAATATTTTTAAACAAGAAACCAGTCTACCATAAAGTCAACAAATAAATGAGATAGCAGTACAATGTTTCAAATGAAACCACGTCACACAGCTCCACATAGTTCAAACACTTTTCAAATAATTCCTTCTGTCCAGAAACTACTTAAATATAATGATGGAAATCATCTTCAAGGTGCTACAGGATACTCCTGTAAATATAAAGTAAAGCTTCTCATTTTCCTAAATTTAGAAAAGTTAGGGAGAGGAAGAGTGTGCATTCCATTCCAAACATTTCCATGTGTAGGGGGCATATCTTTATATCAGTCCGGCTCAGTTGGTGGCACTGTCATCTCTGGATCCAAAGGTGGGTTTAAGACCCATGTCAGAACCCTTAACTTGGTCTCAGCTGACAGTCCAGTACAATGCTGGGGAGCACTGTATTGTTGAAAGTGCCTTCAACCAGATGAGATTTTAAACAGAGGTCTGTTCAGGTGGACGTTAAAGACACCATTGCACTATTCGAAAAGAGAAGAGTTTGTCCCAGTGTCTTGGCCAACAGTCCCCCAGATAAAAATTGGGCAGTAATTTTGTGGCTATTTGTCATGCACAAAAATTGCTGCTGTGTTCGCATACAAAATACACTGTCATGACACTTTACAGTAATTCCTGTGAAACACTTCAAGATGTCCTCTTATTGAAGACTCTTAAACATACTGATGGGTTTCTACATGTGTCAGGGACACCCAAATGACCAAATAAAATACACAGAAGTCTAAATAAGGTTACTAAACTACAAAATCCACTTAAAACTGTACCTGTTCTCATCCATCTTTTGTGGTTTCCTTCCCAAGTATCGAAAATGATCCGTAATTTTTTTGGCCACCTTTGTAGGACCCTTCATTTTCCCCAACTGTGTAGATGAACTGGATGGTGATGGATTTATCGGTTGCTCTGGCTTCAGTACTTCACGTGTCCCATCCTTTAAAGCACCAAATACTTTTGTCTGTGCCTTTGAGAATTGGTCTCCACAGAAATATTTTGATACACCATCAACTTCTATCATGTTTTCATCTTTTTTATTGGGGGAGTAAGCATAAACACGGTTAGCCTGCTGTGCAGAAGCATGCTCAGCTCCTGCTTCTTTTGAAGATATGCCAGTAACTTCTGTTTCTGACATAAGGGAATTATTATTTGAATTATCCCTCTTCATTGGCGAGGTAATTTCACTTATATTCTTAACAGAATGAGACTCTATTAAGCCACCCTTGCCTTCTTTTCCAGTCCCGCTTGGACCAGCTAAATGTTGTTCGCAATCAAAATCAGATAAGGGACTCTCAGGAACAGTGTCAATCTCAGCAATTTGATCTTCATCTGTGTCTAGAACATCAAAGTCACTTATTGGCTCACCAGTTTTAGTTTGCCTTGAAACTTCAGTACTATTGTGTTTAATTATCCAAGTGTCAAGTGTCTTGCATTTTTTCTTATCTGGAATAACGCTTTTACGCTTTTCTCTGAAGTCAGAGCCTTCTATCTTGGTGTTTGGTAGTTTTTGGTTATCTCCAGCACTTCCAGAACTGCACCTGTGCTGTGCATTTCTGCTGGTCTGTTCAGACGTATCAGGCTGTGAACCCAAGGGGTCTTTCTCTTTTCTAATTTCTTCAGACTCTACACACTCAGTTTTCTCCCTGGTTTTATAATTTTTAGATTCAATTTCTGAACTGCTGAGTCGATTATTTCGAAATTGTGCGTGATGACGAACCGTTTCAGAATCTTTGAGACCACTTTCTTGAGACGTTTCTTTCAATTTTGTGTTGTGCGAATACGACTCATCTTTGATTTTTAGTGTTTGCTTAGTGTGTTGCATACTGCAAAACAAAAGTTCAAATGAAGAACATTTTACCTGGTACACAAAAATATAGCATTCGATAAGCAGAATAAACCACCCAAAATTTAAATTTTTTCTAATCGCTCATCCTCAAATTACAAGGCTGGAAACTGGCTCACTTGAACCATTTCATTATTAGCTAGCTCTGATGGAATTTTCACAATTGGAAATATGCACAGCATAAAATTAATAATAGTGACATTGAAGAGCACAACATAACCACCTAAGATGAACATCAATTAAAGGGGTAAATTAAAAGATAATCAAAATCTTAACATGTTCAATGTTAATATTTCAAAATAGCTTTGAATGATACAACTAAAATTTCATTTCTCTGCTTCATTTATCACTTAATACCAATACTTTCCACAAGTCAATGTGTGGTAATGAAAATAAATTAAAGACACAGATCAATCTCTGAGATGAGAACAATTTATATATGCTTTGATGGGTGTAGTATTCATATTTACTGTTATTTTTATTTGTATGTGGCTGCAGCTTTAAAGAACATAAAAGTTCTGTGAACTCAAATTACTAAACACCTGAACATGTTTGGAGTCGCCTGCAAAAAGCCAAAGCCACAAAGAATATATTGCTAAATTTATACAAACTTGCTTTATATCCTGGGCAAGCTTACTGTATGTGAGCACAATATATAAACTGAATAAGCTCAACCCATGTAAAAGATACCTTACAGACATTTTCATTATAGAATGTCCAACAATAATAGATATGCACATACTCTGGTTTAACAAATTTATAAAGACTCATACCTGGCCTGGTCCATGGTTAAATCCGCACATCTGTTAACAGGCAAATCTGCACAGTTCAGTTTGTTGACTGCAAAATATGATACGCTTTTTAATGTTCATAGTTTCAGCATTTTTAAAATATCAAATGTAAATTATATGTCACTGAATTTCTGGTCATGCTGACCACTACCGAAACTGTTATCTTTAAACCTTCACATAATGAATGAATTGAGAATCAAACAACTTTACAATGTACAAGAAGGCTATTTGTCCCATCGAGTCTGTGCTGGCTGAATAAGAGAAATCCTTGTCCCATTTATCCACCCTTACTCCTTTTACAACACAACAACTTGCATTTATGTAGTGCCTTCACGTGGGGTAGCAACTCAGAGAGCTTTAAGATATTCCTTTTTAGTTATCTATCTTGAAAGAAAATCTTGAATTCTACTTTGACTACTGCTCCTTGCGGGGCATTCCAAGTCCAAACAGTTTAAAATAAATCCTCCTGATCTGCCCTTTTGCTCCTTTGGGAATTAACTTAAATTGATGCTCATTTGTCACTGACCAGAGGAAAGGTTTAAAAACTCTGGTTGTAAATATGAAAGAGCAATCTATTTGCATCATTATTAAACAGCCTGCTCTCTGACGTAAAGGACAACCAATGTACAACCAATAGGGTTTCTGCTTTTTTAGCAGGACACTCTCAAACCTATTTTTTGAGTAAGCGAGACAAGAAATAGCATGAACTTTCTCTGATCGCACAAGATAAAAGTGTAGTGAAAGGAGAATAATAAAGATCATATCCCAGAATAATATCACTCTGCTATTAAGATTGGCTAAGATAGTTCTTCTTTATCAAGTCAAATAGTCTGTCAGGAGTTTTGATTAAGGGTTTTGAAAGTATTGATCTGAGCACAATTAAATTACATATATTAAACATAATGCTATATTATTCCAGGTCCTGCCGATGAGCCACGGATGCTGTCATCAGGAATGCCCTGGAATACTGTAGACCTGCCTGGCTCAGGAACCAAACTACTAAGACTGTAAAAAACGGCTGGCTCAATTCCAACAGTCCATTGCCAAGCATGTTCACTTTGGAGCCAGTTCAGCTCCAAGGAGACCCTGCTTACCTTCCCCCCCCAACCCACCCCACCCCCGGAGGATAGTCACGAGTTGGTCGTTAGACATCCGTCAAGTGTGGGTTTGAGCCCTCACAAGGTGGATTGTAGGTACAAGGAACTCCCTGCAAGCTTCCTGGTTGGCAACGCATCTCAGCATGAAATGTGATATTGCCACTGTCTTTCTGTCCGCAGCTCAGGCACCACTGAGCGATGATTCCACCAGTTGGAGGTGTGGCGTTTAAGCAGCAGCTGCTTGCCTCGCTGCAGGCCAATTAAGGTGGGTTGCAGGCACATCAGGTAACGCCTTCCAGCAACTGTCGCAGATAGAAGTCCCAAGATATTTGTAGTGAGTCAGATAAGGATTTCTTATGATAAACCCTGGCTATGGTGCAGATTATTGCTATCCAGTATAGTGTTCTGTTCTATCCAGAGACTTTGGCTTTTGAGTGTGCTTAAAAGGTTCCATAAGGCCTGTAATCATTAGGTACATAACCTCATGGGCTCTTGCTTTGTAAGTATCAACAACAAAATATAAACACAACAATCATTGTTTATCAACAAATCAATTTCAGAATGTTACATCAATATAAACAATTGGAGTTCCCAATTTCAATGTGGACTTTAGAGGAAGCTTCTGTCCAGAAATTAAGCTCTGTGTGAACTCATACCATGAACTCTTTCAGAAGAAAATCAGATTGGTGTTGAAGGACAGAATCTGTATGAATCCCAAGCTTAAATCAACAGGCGAGAGACTTGAACAACGGGCACCAAGTTAATAACTGTAGTTAGCATGGTTCCAACCACAGAATAAGTTGGGAGGCTTTTTAATTAAACGATAATAGATACAATTTGGAATGGGTATTGTCCATTGTGGAAGGTGTGAAGATGCTATTCATAAGTTCCTTGTAATTCCTTGAATATTGCACTGGTGGTCAAACAACGCTCCCCTATTATGGAGACACTGTACTGAGGAGAATGGGGCCTGTCGGTTACAGACCTTTCCTACCTGCTGAAATGTTTGCAGTTTTTCCCTCTGGGCTCCCCTGTGGTAGACAGTGCTGGAGTCCCTTGTTGGTGGTGGGAGAGGAGCGCTGCTGCTGCTGTGCAGCAGATGGACAAACTTCCAGTCTCAATCTTTTCCTTGTGGGTTCATCATCAGACACTGAGCTCATGCTTGGTTTAAAAAAAATGGAAAAGAGAGAAGTGGGGGAGGGTGGGGGGGTGTGGAAGAGACAGACAGACAGACAGACAGACAGGAATACAATAAATTAAGCTTCACTCATCAATGCACTTTTCTGTGAAGCACTTTGAGATGGTTTTGTGATGAGGCGCTGTACCAAGTGCAAGGATTATTAACTATTAATAATAATCCTTGAATTAGACAAACCACTTTATCACATCTTCAAAACATCTCAAAGCAATTCACATTATATACTGCAAAGTGAATTGACTGTATATTGTGGAGTCCTGTAGCTCAGTAGTTAAGAGCACTCGCTTTGCAAATGAGACCCGGGTTCAGTTCCCGGCAGGGCGAAATGTTTGGCAAGTTTCCTTACTCCACACACGTCTGTTTACCTCGCAGTAAGTAGGAACCCGGTTGTTAGTCGATTTGGTGGATGGCCTTTCCGGGAGCAATAATTCACTTTACAGAAAAAAAATGCAGTCGCTCAATCAATCCACGACCTTTTGTGGGACACCGCTGTGCGCGACAGTCGCCCGCAAAATGTACAGTTAACCACAGTATACAGTGTGTTCTGTGAAGCACCTCGAGACGCCTCAGAAGATGCGACAATGAGGTGCTATATCAAACGCGAGGACTTGGCTCCTGTCGAGCGTTATTTCCGAACAGTATTTTGTCCACAACATACCATAGAGAAGTGGGGGAGGGTGGGGGTGTGTGGAAGGACAAAATATGTTGTGGTGGTATGTTGTGGACAAAATACTGTTCGGAAATAATGCTCGACAGGAGCCAAGAGTGCTGACTGGATACAGGTGAGAGCCTGAGGGTGGCTCTGCCTCAGAGGGTGGGGGGGGGGCTGCCAGATGGGCTGCTTTGGCTTCACTGACTGACTGACTGACTGACGGCCAAAGCAGCGCCACCATCAACAGCACCAGTTACCCACCACCAACATGGCCGTTCAGGACCGGCCCCGGACCCCCGGCCCCCGGGCCCCCGCCCGGGATAACCGGCGCGTCTCGCGAGCGCTTCGGCCTCGACACCGAAAAGCACCGCAAGCAACTTCGGGGTGAACTTTTAACTCCGGGGCCGAGGCCCAGGGCCCGACCCTAATGGGGTGGTGGTGGTTCTTCATCATCATCATCATCTTCATCCTCCTCCTCCTCTACCCACACACACACACCTCCTTAATCACTACCCTCCTCCCGACACCAATCGTATTATCGCCGCACTTTTGTACCTCTCCGGGCCTCTACTCCCTTGTCTCCCTGGTGCTGGCGGCCGTCGGCTGCTGACTGGCTGACGCCGCTCGGTCGGGGCAGAGCGGGTGGGCGAACCGGGGGCAGAGAGAGAGAGAGATAGAGAGGGAGGGAGAGGGAGAGGGGAGGAGGAGGAGGAGTCCGGGCCCCGGCAAACTACATCTCCCAGCATGCTCGGCGCCACCAACCGCCACGGCGGGCGGCGCCTCAGCCAATCACCTGCAGAGGTGGCCTGGTTTCTTCGCCCCGCCCCCCCCACCATCACCACCCACCCACCCCCTCCATGTCTCACCAGATTGCAGTGGCCTCCAATGCAAAATAAAGTGAATGATCATGTAATGATAATAATCCTCGCACTTGATGTAGCGACTGATCACGTCTTCGGGAGATCACGGAATGCACTGTAACGTGAATTAATGAACTGTATGGTGTGGGCAAAACGCAGCAGCCAATTGCGCACAGCAGTGTCCCACACAAACAGTCGTGGATTGAGCGACCGATTTATTATCATTAGGTTTTTTTTTGAAGGGATTATTACACCCGGAAAAGCGATCTGCCAGCCGACTAACAACCGTGTTCCTACTTACTGCTCGTTAAACAGGCATGTGGAGGAAGTAAACTTGCCCAGCGTTTTGCCCTGCCCACCAATCAAAAACAGTCCTCTGGCTTGCCCTTAGAAAAATTCCACAAATTATTTTTTTTCCCTCGCTTGGGATGTGTACGATTCAGAATGCCTCTGGGCATTTGTTTTTTTAAAATCAAAGTTCACTGACTGTATAATTAGGTTGGCAAACTATCGGCTCATCTGCAACAGCCAAGTGCCACAAATGATGAGATGTCTTGACATGTAATGAAACCCATCACCGTGCTTAGGAGTATCCAAACCAAACCGAGTGGTCCATGCATTCCACTTACACATGGAAATTCCAGAGATATTTATTGGAATGGAATGCACACTCACTCCCTGGAGGGACAGCAACACACTGCAATTATATAGCACCTTTCACAATCAGAAGGATGTCCCAAGGCATCCTGCTTACCCAATTAAGCAAAATATTAGGCGTAGGTTGCCAAGGCTTGGGGGACCCCAGTATTCAAGGTCAAATACTAATAATCCTTTCATTTGATATAGCGCCTTATCACGTCTTCGAGATGTCTCAAAGCGCCTTCACGGTAAAGCGCAAAGCGACTGGACTCTATATTTGTGGGCGAAAATCCTGGATTTGCCGACAGCATCGAATCCAGGCCCCATTATTCCCACCTTTTCGTTCGGTCGGACCTGACCTCCGAACGATTTCCCGTGAAAATTCCTTTCTCGCCAACCAACATTTATTTCCACTTGGGTTTCGACATGAAACCCACCACACCTGGTGGTGGTGGTGGTGGGGGGCTGTGGAGGGGGAGAGGCTGAGGGTGGTGGGGGGGGGGAGTAAAGATCTACTTTGCTTTCGGTGGGTGCCCTTTTTTGTTGGAAAAAGAAAAGAAACGCCGAATCCCTTCCTTTCTGTCTCTCTCACTCCCTCTTCCTGTCTCTCTTGTGTGTGTTTTCTCTTTTACACGTCATTTCCAATCAGGCAGTCGCGGGGGCCCACCCCCTCAGTGAATATTATTGGCTGGCGCGGGGTCCTTCTTCCTTTTCCGAGGCCGGCGGAGAGACCGACAGCAGCAGCGAAGATGGTGGGTGAGAGAGGCCGAACAAATCCCGTCGCAATCAGCCCCGCGAACCGGCCATCCGGACCCGGACCCGGGCTCGGCCGCCGGCGGGGCGTCCGCCGGGTGTACCGGCGGCGAGATTTAATGGCGTGGCGGGTTCGGCCACCGGCTCCGGTCGTTTACTTTTCATGATTGGCTCCCGAGCGGCCTGGGCCTGGGCCCTGGGCCCTGGGCCTCGGGGAGGCAGCCCCTCCGTCATGGCGAACTGCCCGAAACGTGTTTGCGCTCGGGCCCGGCGGGGCTTCTCTGCGGGAAATAATCCGCTCGGTTCTCTCTTTCAGCGGCTTGCGCCCCCCCTCCCTCTCTCCCCCCCCAAAAAAAAACCCCGGGTGTTCGTGGCGAAGAGTCGCTTGAACCCCCCCCTCCTCCTCCTCCTCCTCCATCCCCCAGGTACCGCTGTGCCCTCTGAGCCCCACTCTGGTCAGGACTCTGCACTCGCTGCGTTTCGGTCCAACTGCAGAAAAGAAAAGTTTTTGCCGCATTCGGTTATCCTCGAGTCGGTGCTCTTGGCGGGAATGTCCTGTGGCAGTTTTTTTTTAAAAAAAAACAACCCCGATGTCATGTCCCGATTGATCCATTCGTTTTGAATACCCCGTGAAACGATTGCCCGAAGGATGTTGAAAACTGAGGAACGTGTGGTCAGTTTCCCTCAGCTGTGGCGTCCGTGTTTCTGGGACAGAAGGTTCTGGGTTCAAGCCCCATTTATCTCAGGGCTCACCAACAGTCCTCCTGAATATTTCCAGATTTTTGATTTGGAAAAGCATTCTGTTCAGATGCGCCCTCACACTCTGAAACATAACCCCCCCCCCCACATGTCCATTTAAATTGTCTTTTCAACATTGATTTATATCTCAATCCAGTTCATTCGTCCCATGTCAGTGAAATGATAGGAAGAAATGTGACAAACAGTATTTGAGTTAAAGATCAGAATTGATAGATTTTTGGTAGGTTCAGGGTATTCAGTGACACCGCTAGAAAACGGGAAATTGGAATTGAAAGCATTAGTTGAAGCACAGGTCAGTCGTGATCTAATTAAACGGTGGAACAGGCTCAAAGGGCTGAATGGCCTACTCTTGTTCCTATGAATCCTGATCTAAAATTAAGCCTCTTGGAAATGCCCAAAGGACTAATTAGAACAAATTAACATTTGGGTTCATTCATGGAGTATAAACATAAGCAGTTCCTGTTTGGGCCGAATGACCAACTTTATTTGTGGGGATTATTCATAGAATATTACAGCATAGAAGGAAGCCATTTGGCCCATTGTGCCTGTGCCGCAATTTTGTGTATTGACCGGGATAGTGGGAGAAATTCCCTCTCTATTAGTACAATGAGATCTTTGGTATCCTCAGATTAATGTCTTGTCCAAAGATAGCGTCTCCTACAATGCGCCCACAGCACTGCATTTGAGTGGCCCTAGAACTGCTGGATTCTAGATTAAATATTCTAAATTAAATTGGATTCTAGATTAAATAAAAAGTTCCAGTTTAAATATTTCTAGATTTATGCCATAAATCAAGAGATTTGCAATCAAGAAAAAATTTAAGACACCCATCAAACTCAGGCTGACTTAGACTTGTGCAAATGTTTGGAAAGACACGCGTGCCATGGGTTGGTCGCTACCTGAGACCGAATCCCGTGGTAGGGCTTGAATCCACAAACGGGCAAGCGTGCTACCAATTTAGGTAGGCTGACGCACGTAACAGTATAGAGAACAGCAACAAATTGCAGTTGTTATCAGGAGGACGTCCCAAAGGTGCTGGACAGCCAAGGGTTTCCTCCCCAACCTGGGTGTTGGAATCAAGTGGTGAAGAGCAAGGGGGGTTGGCAGTGGGAGGATGACCGAAGGCACGGTCAAAGAGTAAGGTCTTGGCACTGGTTTTGAAGGAGGCAAGAGAGGGATTGATGCAAAGGGATTCTGTGATGGAGTTCCAGAGGATGGGGGGCAGAAAGGTTGAAGGTTTGAAGCAATGAAAGGTTTTGAAATAATTATTTTAAAAAAAACTTTGCTGAAAAGGGATTCAATGAGAAGAGGACATGAATTTTTTTTAATATCAAATTATTATAGGAGTTGACAAGCACATGCAGAGGAAAGGCACTGGAGGATACTGGGAAAGAGCAGGGAATTAGGATGAATGGTATCTTGGAAGTAGCAAACACTGGCGCAAAAAAGAACACACAGCCTCATATGTTTTTATGTGTTATGAATTTCTAATAGCCGATATTTGCTGCATTTATTCCCAGTTATCTAGTAAATCTGTACTTGATAAACTATAGGGTGCTGCATTAGTTCTATTCCCTAAAAACACTTTTAGATTTTCTGTTGTAATATTGTTGTAAATTATCTTAACTTTTTAACAATAATTATTTATTGCAGAACGACACGGTAACTATCAGAACCAGAAAGTTCATGACAAACCGTTTGCTGCAGCGCAAACAAATGGTGAGTAGGGGTGTTTCATCTGTTTTTTATCCCCGAATGTAAATTGTCTGGATTCTTAATCTATTACATCTTTAAGTTTAATTAAGTAGCAAATATCCATTGTTTAAAATCTTACTTAATAACCGCTTGATGGGTGCCACCAGCTCATTTGTCATGAGTTTGATCACTTGTATGAGTTAACGTGGGAGAGAGAACATTAAGTATATTTACCAATATAGTGATAAGGTTGAGACCTAATAGTGATAGCAGAATATTTGAATGCTAAATTTATTAGCTCGCTGTAGGTTATCTTATTGTTCTAAGAAAGCTATGTTCATTATAATTCTTTTGTTTCTATAAAAAGTTGGATGTACATACTTTATTTTAGCTCTATAGCAACAAAGCTCACAAAAGCCTTCACAAAAAGTGTCGTGTTTCGATTTGTAGGAGGACACAGCAGCTGATTTTCTTTGGAGGATTGTTAGCCAGAACACTGGGAGAAACTCCCTTTTCTTTTCCAATAGTGGAAATTGATTCCATGGAATCTGTAACATCTACCTGATCAGGTAGAAGGGATCTCGGACTCTCCCAAGTACAGCTGCCAATACTGCATTTCACCAGCACTATTAGAAGATCGGTGAAAACTCTTAAGCTCACAATCCCAACATATGGTTTGAACCCACAATCTTCTGTCCTAGAGTCGAAAGTGTTACCAATTGAATGTACAACGTGAAAGAGCAAAATTACAGGAATATATTCTAAAAGGCACTATATCAAATACAAGGATTGTTATGTGGCATATAAAAGTAGTGTTAAAAGTTGGTGTTGTGAGGATCTGCTAGGTGCCCTTTGTGAGTTGTGTAGAACCGAGCAATTTGTTTGATACTGACCCAGACGCATGATATTTTGATATGATGTTGTTTTTTGGTGCAGTGGCATGTTTTGTTCTAGCCTGCAATATAACTATATATTGGAATTTGTGGAACAAATTGCAAAATTGCCTTCATGAATAGACTTATTTTTTTCTCCTAGGTTGTCGATGTCCTCCACCCTGGTAAAGCCACAGTTCCTAAAACAGAAATCCGGGATAAGTTGGCAAAAATGTACAAAACTACACCAGATGTTGTGTTCGTTTTTGGCTTCAGGACACAGTTTGGTGGTGGAAAAACAACAGGTTTTGCCATGGTTTACGATTCCTTAGATTATGCAAAGAAAAATGAGCCTAAACACAGACTGGCAAGGGTAAGCCACTGTTTTCTAAAATTGGTTCAAAGCTTTTTTTAAGCTGTGTAAATACAAATACATTTGGACGTCCTCCCAACGTGAAGGACGTTAAACAAATGTAATTTTTTATTGTATATTGTTGATTTGTTCACATTAACTCATGCGTCCACTTTACCTTTTGCAGCACGGTCTGTTCGAGAGGAAGAAGGTTTCTAGGAAACAGCGTAAAGAACGCAAGAACCGAATGAAGAAAGTTCGGGGCACAGCTAAGGCTAATGTTGGATCTGGCAAAAAGGTATGAATGTGTTCATTGACAAAGATAAAAGCTTGATTGATATTATTTGAATTTTATGTTTTGGTGTTCTTTTTTGACCCTTGTTTCCATTAGTATTATGAAACTATTTTGTTCTATTGATCTTTATTCTTTTTTCTTTTATTTCTTCTGGACCACAGAAGGTAATGCTGACTTTGTGTTCAGGAAGCTGCATAGTGTTGGTGTTTAGCTTACTAATAGTTTAGCTTTGTTTGGTCACTTTGTAATTACTTTTATAAATTTGCACACTAATCATTGATAGAATAGAACGCAGATAGTGATTGAAATGGTAACCGAACAGACCAATTTATTGAGATTGATGTGTGTGAACAAATATTGTCCATAACCACTCTCAAATTAACCCTCAATTTATTGTGTTCTAACACCTCTCTATAGCATGTTTGAAAATTATCTTTGAAAAGATAGTATTCCCATTCATTTGGTTGAACATGCTGAAGAACAAAATCATTTTGGGGCGAGAAGAACACTCAGTTTGGGCACATTATATTAATGTTCCAATTAATATCCCAAACTGAAATCTGTGATTAGTTGGGACATTTTGATGGGACCACTATAAATTAGATGCAATTTTTTGTTAGTGACATGCTAATTTATATAGTGGAGAACATAACTGCTATTAATTTGTGGCATTTAGAGCCATATTTGATTTAGTCTCTCGCCAAACTAGAATTCACTGACCACTTTGATATTTTGATTGTTTCAATGTCACATTGCCATCTGATATTGAAGCAATCGGATTATCATTTATCTTTTGAACTCGGCAGTCCTCTAATGCTCAAATTTTTGCTTACAAGTACCTATGCTTTGGAAGTTCATTTGTTTCTATCTCTCGATAATCTTTGTTTTGTCTTTCTTGTTGCTCTTTCCGAATATGTCCTTCAGAAATGATGACTCCGTGCCAGGTACCAGTCAAAGCACGAGTGTGATCATGCAAAATGCTCATAACTTAGATTGGTTTTGTGTTCTATGGTTATAAAGAAGCACCGCTTTGCATGTCGACTTGATGCTTCACATAGACTGACACTTTAGTACTTGTCATGTAATGTGCTTTAGTTGCATCATTCTTTTATATTTTTGGACTAAATGCAAATGTGAGAGGCTGCAACCCCACTAATTGAGATGATTTATCAGAATTGTTCCATAAAAGGGTGCCTGTAATCCTAGCTTCACACAACAGCAGTTATATTAGAAGCACAATCCTTATTTCTTAATATTGTCTCCAATGATGAAGGAAGAAAATTTGGCATGTGCTTGCATTGAATGGGAAAATGTATTAAATGATGCCAAAATGTAGAATGTGTTGATCTGTATTCTATTAAATACATTGATCATACATGAGGGTGAAAAAATATCTCTTCTGTTTTCCTATACAATCCTTTTCTCAGTAAAACAACAAACTCCATGCCTTTTTTTAAAATTGTTCAATGTGCCCACAAAATGTCTCACTTAAACTGACCTGCATCTCCTTTTTGGAGTATTCAAAACTTATTCTGAAGGGAAAATATTGTGGGTAGTTGTCTAATGATATAAGCCTGCATTATATCACCAATATACTGTTGTCACCTTTATAATATGTGTGTGTGTATATGTATATATATATGTACAATTACATTTTGTTGTCGCTTTAAAATTGAGCAAGACTCCGCATACCCATGATGCTGATTAGTGAGCTCAAACCTCGGAAATACGGTTGAAGTGCATCTTAGGGTGAAAAGGCGGAATTTTTCCAAAGTTTTTTTAAAGTAGCTTTCCTGAATAATAATCATTGCATTGATTTGGCACCTCATCATGTCCTAAAGATGTCTCAAAGCGCTTCACAGAATATACTGTAAAAGGAATTGACTATATTTTGTAGGTGAGCTCCCAGCCTACTGTGCTCCTCTGTTTGTTTCTCATTAGTGTATGCATCAAGTTTTCTCTTACATACAATAATGTTGTTGCTTCAACCACAGCTTCAGGCAGTAAGTTCACCATCATCTATGTAAAAACATTCCTCCTAAATTCTCCATTAGTTCTACTTCTAGCTATTGTATCTTATATTTATACCCTCTCATTCTGGGTTTGCCACCAAGTAGAAACAGCCTATTAATGTTCACCTTGTAGAATCCTTTCATAATCTTGAAACACCTATATCAGGTCCCCTCTCAATCATCTCAGCTATAAAGAAAAAAGTTCCAACCTGCCCAGTCCACAGCTGTATCACCCTGGTAATATCCTTGTCAATCTTTGCTATATTCTCTCCAATACTGCAATACTCTTCTTGTAGTATAGTCACCACAACTGTACACAGTACTTCAAATGTGGTCTAACCATGGTTTATCATTCTAACATTGCTTGAAACTTTTATACTGTATTCCTATGGATAATAATGATTATGACTGCACTCTTTATGGCCTTGTCCACTCATGTTACTGCTTTTAGAGTCCTATGAATCTGAATCCCAAGATTTCATTCCCTCTTTGGTTTCTGCTATCCAGGGTATAGAAGCTTCTTTATTATATCTACCAAAGTGAATCATTTTATAGTTTCCTATATTCAATATCATCTGCCTTCTATCCACCAATTTTGCAAGCTTATTTATATTTGTCTTCCTGCATCTTTTATTTATGTCAAAGTAGCAAAAATTCTGAAATGAAATATGCACACAAGAGAAGTAAATGAAATAAAGTTTGATTTTACTGAAGTAGTTTAGAATAGAATGTATATTATGTCGACGTTGAGGTAGTTGTGCATGATTTGCCTGGTGTGTGTGTCTAATTTTCAGTGATGGGCAGCAATAAGCAATTCGTGTTCCAAGTCTCTGGATTCTTGTTGCTCGTGGAAGGAGCATGCTGTAGAGTGGCTTTATATGATTTTTATTTGAAAAGTTCAGAACAAAACTGCATGTTTTTTCTGGCGTATTTAGCACATATGTTACTGGGACTTGGATCTCTGCGAAGTGCATTCTCGCTTGCGCAATGTGAAATGGTGGAATTGAGAGTCTTGGAACCGTCTTTTTTGATTTATTTGTGTCATGCTCTTTATTAAAGCTGTTTACTGGAGTTTTGTATTACAAAAGTATGCATGACCATTACAGTGATTTTTTTAATAGATGTGTTTTTAGTGTTTTACAAATTGAATGTAGATTTATTCTGTTTTATCTGTATTATAATTCATCACACGTGCGTTTCCTAGCGTTATTTTAGCTGGTTAGGCTATTGGAGTAAAGCATGGAGTGTGAACTGCATGTCTTTCCATTTCTTAGCCATGAACAGCATCGGAAGTAATATTTTTGCCAGATTCTCTGCGTGAGTGAGCAACCAGCTCCCAGTTCATTGTCGCTTTGAGTCGACTATAAAGTATCTTAACAACTTTGCAGTCCTTGTTTTACCTTTCCTCTCCTCGCATGGGCTTTGCTCTACATCTTCTGCAGCAATGTACTAGGTAGGAATTGTAATGACAAATGTACTTGCTGTCAAAAGACCCAGGTGAAATGAAGGGTATGATTGTTCAGTTTTACATCTTCAGTTATGTTGTGTTAAACAAGCAGGACTGGTGTGCAAACTTGATTTCTTTATGAATAGACATTTGCTAACATTGGAATTTTTTCTTGACTATGATTTTGTTTTCTGCCTACAGTAACCTGGGAGAAGATTGGAAAGTCACTTGAAATGTGAGTTTAGAGTCCATTCCAATTACTGCTGTTAGCGTACATAGTTTCACGTGCAAGTTTGTGGTTATTTAGCTGTATGTATCTAATTTTATTGAGGGTAGTGTTTAGCTTTGTTTAAATAAGTTAAGCAAAGATGCCCATTAAACTCTTGTTTTTTTTTTCTCTGACAGGCTAACTTATCCTGGATCATCACATTATAAATTGTTGTCAAGAAACGCAAAATAAATTCTATAAAAAATGAATGCATCTGTTCTTGGGCTATGCTTATGAATGGGGTTATTTTTTGTGGCATAATTTTTCTTAGATGAATGCTGTTGACTGTTAAACTTTTTATAAACAATCTGAATTTATATAGATATGAATTTGTTTTGTTGCTTTTTCAAAGAAAATGACAAGCTAGTTACCAATGCTGGCAAAAAGCTGTCTTCATTCTGCTGACTGTGACCCCTTGTCATTATTTTTTTTCTTGAAATGAGCCTAGATTTTTTGCAGAAGGGATGGCCCATTTTACCAATCCGTTGGCAGTCATACCTGGGATATTTAAGGAAAAATCCAAATGTGAACACAATATATTACTTCCACCACCAGTTCATGACATTTGTTTAAAACTGTATTTTAAAAATGAAAGGAGTTTCCCAGTGTCCTGGCTAACAATCTTCTAGATTAATTGTCTCAACAGCTGTCCGTTTTACCCACAAAATAAACAATCAATTCACTTTACAATATATTCTGTGAAGTGCTTTGAGATGTCTCAGTGACGTGATGAGATTCTATATGAAATGCAAGAATTATTATTGTTTGTGGGACTTTGCCGTCACAATTGGTTGCTGTATTTGCTCACAAAACGGCCACTAAGGTGTTACAATTAGCTATGAAGAGTATTGTAACTCTTGATTGCTGAAGCTCTGTAAAAATGCAATGTGTACTTGTGAGAAAGAGGTAAGAGCCTATTGGAATGCAGCTTCTAGCAGGTATGTGATTGGATGTAGATATTTTGGGAGAACAAAAGTGACCTTGAAAGCTTGCTCACAAACTGAACAAGAAGGGAACATTTGGTTTATTAGCTTGGCTTTCCTTTTCCTAAGTTTGATGTAATATTGTACGTTTTGGTAATGGATAACTGATTATAAACCTAAATACCTTAACTTCACTTGAATGCAATGCTTGATAACATTCAACTAATTTTCACTGCAAAGTATTATCAGTCAATGGAATTAAGTGTTTGTTCTTCACAAATGCTGTGAACTGTTGAATCAAATCACAAGCTCAGTGGGGGGTGAGGATGAAACTATTCATCCTAATGTCTTGCATTTCAAAACAGAATGTCTCTTGATGCATTACATATTTCATTCTGCAAGGGAAGGTGAGAGGTATTGCCAATCATTGTTGCAGGAATAAAGGCAATGTCCAAATTGTGCTCATCAACAAGGGGGATATGTTTGAAGAGACCGTTTACATGGGTTGGATATGAACCCAGATTGCAGAGGTGAAAGAAGTGTTGATTCCTCACCACATAGGCTATTAAGAGTATAAATCTGTAATTACAAGAGTAGCTAATAATTAGAGATAAATGCTGCATCTTCCTCTGCAACTCATTGTTCCATTGATCAACAACTCGCCCACAAAATGCACAGTCAATTCACTTTACAATATATATGCTGTGAAGTGCTTTGAGACATCTCAACAATGTGATAAGGTGCTGAACCAAATGCAAAGATTATTATTATTAACTCAAGCTTCCTGAAACAATACAATCGTCAGAGAGCAAGTGGCGTTCTATTTTATTTTGCTCTTTCTTTGGTCACTCAATCCACGTTTGTGTGCTGCTGCTTTGTTTTGCCCACAAAATACACAATCACTATACAATATATTCTGTGAAGAGCTTTGAGAAGTCTCATTGATGTGATAAAGCATATCAAATCCAAGGATCATTATGACAAGTAAATTAATATAGTTTGTGATTCTTTAGACGACATACAGTCTACATAACTGGCTTTGAGTTCCGGAAAACCAGTAAAAATATTTTTTTTAACTGAGGAAGCTTGTGGAAGCACATTAAGGTAAGTACATCTGAAGATGTTTCACCCACAAAATACACAAGTCACATCCATTACATTATATCGTGTGAAGCACTTGAGATGTCACGTAATAAGGTGCTATATCAAATGCAACAACAAATTAACATTTGCATAGTGTCTTTCGCGTCAGGAGGATGTCCCATGGTGCTGAAGATGATGGCCCATTAAATAAAAGCTTACCTAAAAATGAGTAGGTTATAAACTGGAAATATCCGTATGTGTGTGTCACATGAAAATCGCAAGATGTCAAACACCTCTGAGAAAGGATAACCTCTGCCAAAAGCTGACAAAGTGGCCTGCAGGAGGCAGTACGATCTGCAAGTATGGATTTCCAGAAAAAAGTGTCTATGGGAATCTTGCAATGTGTCATAATCTTGTGCATAACATGTACAAGATTATCACATGATCATTGTTCAATACAGTGGCTCCTGGGCCAGTGCTCAAAATCACTTATCATCGGTAATCAAATATTTAAATTTCCAGGCAAAATAACATTCGTATACAAGTTAGATACACTAGGATATTATTCCAAAGTATGTGGGATGGGGGTAGAGAAATTATAGAATCAGAAACATTGTACACTTGAAAGCAGCTGACTGATTGTTAACAGATTGTGAAAAGGTTAGCTTCATTTTTTGCTTGCCAAAAAAATCTTTGAACCTTCAAACAGATGGTAGAATATTTCAGTATACTTTATTTTGTGTACAAGAGCATGTTGAGCTTTTAATTACAAAAGCAGTATTTTGACATTGCGCTCTTTATTGAGGCAGGGGGTGCTATAAGCACAATTTTTTCTCTGCTGATGGAGTGGTGGAGTAGTTAAACCGTCTTGCCTTTCCCTGCAGCCCATTTCCCAGTGGCAGGAATCGATTTGATAACTTGCAGTTTCAAAAATGTGGTTAAAATTAAGCTTTGGTCTTCACAACTAAATTCATTTTATGAAAAAAAATTGTAGTTCAAAACTGGGTCACTATCATTTTGTAGGTGGGAACATTCAATTTAATATAATTAGGCATTTCTAAATATTGTAAATATACGAAATTGAATCAAAATGAATTGTCCAAAATTATGCATAATTAACATGGAAATTCTAGAGATAAATTGTTGGAATGGAATGCACTCTCTCCCTGGAGGGATGCATCCCACTTACCTAATTCTGGAAAGTATTAGGCGCAGGCTGGCAAGACCTGAGGCTTGGGGACCCCAGAGTGTGCGTTAAGGTAACTGCTGGAGTCTAACCAGCTAAAACCACATAGTTGGCCATTGATACCACAGTGGCAAACTTTCCCTTTGCGTGTCCAACTAGGACTCGGGAGTTGATTGGGAGGATTACCTGTTCCCCAGTGGCTGTTTTGCCCTTTCAAGTCCTGCCGATGACCCGGGCTGGCTATGCTGTCATCAGCAGTGCCCTAGAATACTGCGGACTCTCCTGGCTCAGGAACCAGACTACTGAGACCGCCACAGAGAGCTGGTTCGATTCTCACGTTCCTTTGCCCAAACATAATAATAATAATATTGCATTTCATATAATGCCTCATCATATCTTCGAGCCATCTCAAAGCACTTCACAGAATGTACTGTAAAGTGAATTGACTATATTTGTGGGCAACTTGCGGCAGCCAATTGCGCACAACAGTGTCCCACAAATAGTCGTGGATTGAGTGACCAAATTATTATTTTTTAAGGGATTATTACCCCTGGAAACGTGATCTGCCAAATGACTAACAATCGTTCCTACTTACTGCTAGGTAAACAGGTGTGTGGAATAAGGAATCTTGCCCAATGTTTTTCCCTGCCAGGGAATCAAACCTATGTCTTCTCACTTGTGAGGCGAGTGCATATCATCTTGGAGTAAATTCAGCTCCATAGAAACCACATTTACCTCCCCCACCCCCCCCCCCCCACCAATCCCCCACCATAACAACAACAAGATTCCAGTTATAGAGCGCCTTTCACGTCCGGAGGACGTCCCAAGGCGCTGTACAGTTGGGTCAGGACCCGAGCAGGGGGGAAATGGTCTGGGTGAGGGGAGGGAAGGGAGGGAGCGAGGAGGGGGTAGAGAGTCGAGAGGGGAGCTGAAGGCACCGTCAAAGAGAAAGGTCTTGAGACCGGCCTTGAAGGAGGAAAGGGAGGAGGCGGCGAAGGCACTGGGGGATAGAGTTCCAGAGCCTAGGGGTTGAGAGGCTGAAGGCCCGGCCACCGATGGTTGGGGCAGGGGATGTGGAGCAGACCGGAGCCAGAGGAATGGAGGGTACGGGCAGGTAGGTAGGGGGATAGTAGGTCAGAGAGGTAGGAGGGAGCGAGGCCGTGAATGGCCTTGTAGGTGAGGATGAGGATCTTGAATTCGATCCTCTGGGGGATGGGGAGCCAGTGGAGGCGAGCGAGGTTGGGAGTGATGTGCCCCACCCCCAAGGAGGATAGTATCCAATATTAATATTAATTAAAAACAGCATTTATAATAATAATCGTTGCATCAATATAGCATCTTATCATGTCTTCGAGATGTCTCAAAACTCTACCAGAATATATCGTAAAGTGAGTTGACTGTATATTTTGTGAGCAAAACAATGTTTCTTTGCATTTTTGTACACCTGTTCAAACAGGTGGGCTAATATTGTTTTTATCTCATCCTAAAACAGTGGGTGTAATACCTGTTACCTTCAGTAGTCACTTGCCTCTGCTGACAACTGATGAAGCTTGCAGGGTCAGCACAGATAAGAAAATTGATACTGGAAATAAAACTAAAAAACCTTTTGGCCTGGATTTGCCATAAGGTTAATGACTGTTGTGGACTGGCATTTTTTTAAAAAAATAATCCTACCGTTTAGTTAAAGATTAAATGGCAAAGCATTACCAGATGGTGAGTAAATATGAGAAATGAGGATGGCACAAGAATGGTTGCTGTTGATAGAATTTTGGTGAGGTAAGTCATTTGAAAAGCAAACTAAACCATGCCAAAGTACCTTTGTTGGCAGCTAAATGCCACTTTGTAGCTAATTAATTATATTATCCAACTTCAGCTTTTCCAGTAAATGACCCAAAAATGATCCTTTTAAAGAAGTGATCGAAGCTTAGGTTACGGCTATAGTTGCACTGCTCTTTGACGAGCAAGAAAGGGAAGTGGTATTATGAAGAGATCCTTGGTGCTAGAGTAGTCAGGAAAG